CAGCAACCAAGAAAGTGAAATTCATAATGTCTGGCATCCAATCTAAAGTTATCAGGCATGCAAAGAAGCAGAAAACTACTACACATGATAAGGAGAAAAAAAATCAACTGACCCAAAGTTGACAGAAACAGATGAAAGAATTAAATAAATAAAAACAGTGAAGACACAGTAAGCTAGCCAAAATGAAACACAGAGAGAAAATAGCCTGTCAGTACACATACCAATTTGTTAAAAATCCTATCTCTAGAGAGAGCAATAAGGAATGAAAGTGAACTTCGCTTTGCACATTCCCTGTCTGAATTACTTTTTAACAAGAGCAAAACAACAATAAGCATGCTAACACCTGCTGAGTACTTACAACATGCCAGAGGCTCTTCTAAGTTCCTGGTATGTATTAACTCATTTAATCTTTCCAAAGTAAGTACTAGCACCATTGCTGTTTTACAAATAAAGAAATTGAGGATGGAAAGTTTAAGTAACTTGCCTACAGGTAATAGAAAACAGAGAAGGATTTGAACCCAAGTAGTCAGCCTTCAGCATACATGCTCCTATCACTGTTATACAGCTTCTCTAGCATACTATTTTATAATTTCAAAAACATACAGTACATTAAAACTATAACTGAAATAGTCATTCATGCAACACAATATGCCCCAAATCCAGTTTGAAAAATTACCTGGTGATTAACACATGTCAGATGTTCGATAGTTTTCTCTAATTCTGATTTTCCAAATAGACTCATTTCCTGGAGATGCTGAAAGAAAATTTTATAGAAAATGTTCATTCACATCAGATGATAAAACAAAATTACCAAAGTAAGCAAGGCAAGTCTACAGTACTATTGTATTTGTCGTTTCTTAACAGAATGTTTTAGAAAGAAAATCATTAGACATTTTACAAAAATGGTGCTTTTGGGTGGAAAAACAGAAGCATAAGNCAGTATTCAAAATTTTTAGTAAAAATAATTTTCCAATCTAGATTTCCAGATACTTAAGCCAAATCATAAAGTTTGAAAGTACAAAAGTTGAATAAAAACATTTTCAAATAAGTAGAGTACCAAAAATAATTTACTCCCATGTATTCTTTTTCAGGAAACTGCTGGACAAAATGCTATAGTAGAATGAAGGAAAAAAACAAAAAACGAAAAAAAAAAAACCCATGAGATTCAACACAGGAAAGGGAGACAGGAAAAGACTTAAGAGGACAGACACGAAGATGGAAAGCTGGAGAAGGGAGGTCTTCAGGGGGAAAAAACAGAACTGATAGGTTTGACTGTTAAAAAATACTGAAAGCCATGTGGCAGATATGTTGGAGCTCTTGACAAAAATTAGCAATGAGGTCAGTGAAAAACAGAAAAGTAACAAAAAATGAAATGAAACAAAACAAAGGCAATTAACTCCAAGAAAAAGATCTACAAGAAAAACGCACTGTCCCACTCGGCTGATCAGTGAACCACTAGAAGCCATGATAATATAAACAGTAACTACTAAGTCAGCAAAATCTGTAATTAAAACTATGTCAAGCTAATGGGGAAGCAATGGGGAGGAATGCAAAGCCATCCATCATCTACCATCATGCAAATTCGCTAAATAATCTTAAATCAATCAAGTAAGACTAAGCAGCACAAACACTATTTAGAAACAGGGAGAGAAACACCAGGAGAAAGTTAAAACGTTGTGGGTAGTAGTTTTGGGGATAGGGAGGTAGGAAATGAAGCTGTTTTTTGTTTTGTTTTGGTTTGCATTAAAAATCTTTCAGAATTCCTTGGGTATATCTTGTACAAACAAGAGTACATGTATGGTATAAAGAATTAAAAATGAACATTTGTGTATCCATCGTGTTTTAAAAAGTATTACCCAAACCTCTGAAACTACTTGTGAGCAGTCGCCACTCACATCCCCCAACCCCTGCCCACAGTAACCACTATCCTGAGTCTGGTGTTTCTCATTTCCTGCTTTTCCTTAGTGTACTGCATCTGTACGAATCCCTAAACAGAGTTTAGGTTTGCATGTTTTTAAACACTACAGAAGTGGAATCACACTGCACTTTTTCTTCGACACTGTATTTGTAAGATTCATGCATGTTGATTATGTAGCTTTTATTCATTCGTCTTTGCTGCTCTGTAACACTCCATTGTATGAATTACCACCATCCGCCTATTTTTCCTCACAACAGACATCTATATTTTTCGTTTTCTGCCAGAGAGTATATATTTTAGGCTTTGTGAGCCCTATGGTCTGTTGCTACTACTCAGATGTAACACAAAAACAACCACAGGTAATGTGTAAACAAGTGAGAGTGGCTGTGTTCTATTACAAAAACAGACTGTAGGCTAGGTTTGGTCCCGGGGCCGGAGTTTGCTGACCTCCATCCAGGACAGGCATCTAGAAGTGGGTTTTCTGGCTTATAGGGTATGCCGCCTTTGCTGAATAATCCAAATTATTCTCCAGAGTGCCCGTTTGCATTTTCAGAAGCTATATACACTCGCTAATAATACTTGTTAAAACTTGTTAATTTCTGATGACCTGATATTTTAGACTTTAATTCACAGTTTTCATTTTCA